TTTTCTAGATTTATAAAAAAAGAATGAAATTAATATTATCCTTTAAATATGAAAGTATATTCCAACTAATAATGACATTGAAATACGATACTTATCTTTGATTTGTTAATATCACATATATTATAAGGCACAAAAGAAATGAAAATAAGTGAATGTTTTGTTTTGAAAGGCACTTATACCACTAAAAAGAGTGATATAAACGCCACAATTCTGTTTTACAGTGTAATCTTGTGGTTAGTTATGATTATCGTGTAGAAAACCACCGCATAACATGTTTCACTTTGTCTAATAAGTCTAAGAGGATGCGAATATGTTCTAGAATTTTTGGAAAATAACAAATTTGAGAGGTGTCTCCAACAGTTTTGATAGCACCATATATCATTAGTTTCAAAAAACTCCACTAAAGAAACAAAATTGAAAATGTGGAGATCTTTCATGTTGTCAATTGAGCATAGACAGCATTGCTTGATGGTTATATTGTTTGTCACGTACTTCAAAAGTACTGAGTTCGCACTTCGACGTTGGCAAAGTCATGTAATAACCTAGGGCAAGTTACTTATGTGTTGGAGCCTCGGATCACCCGTCCGATAACATACTCACCACGTTGTGACGTACAATAAACTTTTCCGACTAGTGTTCGTGGCTTTCCGGAAAGTTAGTATGTGATTAGTGCGTGTATATGAGGAGCTCAAGTAATTGGAACTCTGTGTCAGGCTAACCTTCCAGCCAGAGCTGTAGTTGATGACTAGTAACAAGCTGGGTGACCATTTCAAAAGCTTGTCAACTGTAGGGAAGATATCAGATTAATGAAACTGCTATTCGGCAGCACCTCTATACCGACCGGCAACGGTAGCCACAAGGCAGGATATTCTTCCAATTGAGCATTAGAATTCGTTATTCTTTATAACATTTATCTTCCTACATAGATGCACCTTTACAAATAATTTAGTAGATCAAGAACAGTGTTAGCACTTGTCTTTTACATCACTAAATATTCCCTTGTTTCTGTGTTAGATGTGTTGTATAATGATAACAATAATAATATCGCATAAGCTCGTTATTCGTTCTCTTTGTCTTGAAGCGCTCACACTATAAGATTATGTACCAGATTATTATAATCAATGTCGATATTCCTCACAATAATACCTATTATCATTTCCTTTCTAAAAGGTCAAATTAACGCGATATATCTATTGCCATGATGAGAGATGATATCAAGTGAAAATAGTCACAGCTAGTAGTCGATCATCTTTTTCTTGTCTTTGTTCTTTTTTTTCTATACCCACAAAAAAATGATAAAACTGTCAATACTATTTGTTCTAACATCTGTTGATGCTATTCACATATTTCTCAACGGTAACTGACAATCAACTGCACTAGATCAATACTACTCCAATTTAAATAATGTCAACAGCAGAAATGTCTGTAATTATGCTCAAAGAATTTCATTCAGGAAGAACAGAATTGACAACATTCGAAATGGATGATGAGCAAGAGTTAGAATTGGAAAAGTGAGTACTCTATTCGTTTGTCTTGTTTTTAAGAGTTTCAACTATTAAATCTTATTCCATTGAAACCAGTATTTTGACAATGAGAGAAATGTTCTCTTATACAAATAGCTTTAAAATACACCGTTTTTTGGTCAACTACGGATGAATAATTAAGAAAAATTTCGAACTATGTGGTCATAAGCGCTTCTTGTATTGACGTCTTTCTTACCTCCATTAATGATATAAAACAAGACTGCGTACGACAGGAGAAGTACGCCGCCTACAGAGGTCGTCTAAACGTTCAGTATTCATATATTCTATATTGAAACACCGTTTTCAATTAAGAAGAATCAAAAATAGGAGTTAATCACATATTCAAATCATATTTCTCATATTTCAAAACATCCTTCTTTTGACAAGAAGCAGACGTCAATGGCTACGTTTACTTTAGTGTCATGACTACGGTAAAACTTGGAAAATGGACTGCGCGATCAGGTGAAAAAGGGTTTTCGATTAGGGCACGTAAGGACTAAAAGTTAGACTTTCATGCTTACTCTGAGCATATCCTGAAAGAGTTCTTTATTATTTATTAGCTTTATTTCTTCTTTATATTTTTTATCTAATGCGAACGAGAAGAATGATAGAAAGAAAGATGGCTGGGAGAATGTTTAGTATTCAGCTCAAGTGATGTTCAATCATATACTAGTGTATCCTGATATTTTTTCGTTTAGACTAAGATTTTATTCACGAAAGTGAATAAAGTGATACTTTTTCTCAGATTGTTTTTACGTTTTCTTCGATAATCAAATACCTAGTCGTTATTTACTCTGCGAATTTATTCGATGACAAACAGGGCTTTCATTGGAACTTTTCTGCTTTATGAAATATTCCATTTGCGTTCGAGACTGTGACTTTATCTAGATGCCAATCAGTACCCAGAATACGGGATGATTTTTCCATTGTAGTGCTGACACATTCTTATTCACAAGAAATAAGGTTGTGCAATACTTTCTTTCATAAAAGAAAAACGAAATAATATTTGCTGTCACATTCTTCCAATAGAACCTTCTCGTATTGTCAATGAGTAAGACTAATAGAAATTTTACGAAAAAGTGAATATTTTAGATCGATGATACTAGTGTTATCCCTGGACGACATGTTCAAATATCACGTTGTATGCGATGTTATAATTCCTTTTCATTTATGCCGCGTAAAACTTTTTTGTCAAAATTGTTCTTGAAAAACCTGTTTCCCGCGAAACATTTATTATACATTTTTCCGTGTTTAAAGGCATAAAATCCATTTTCTGGAGCACGTATTCGTGGCCAGTGATTCGACTGTCAGATCTGCACTCTCATTTTGATAGATTCGTATTTTGATTGTACACGCTTAATATTCTTGTACGATTATTTCTACATTTTCTATACTTGTTTATATTGGAAACAACTTCTGTTTCTCTGCTTAGACGCCATATTTTTGCTAATCGTTGAATATGATCGATATTATAGGCTTCATTGTTTCGAGCAGTTCAAACAGAAATATTCCACTTCTTAACTAATTCAAGCTCTTTCGTTGTTTTTCATGCACAGAAATTTTTAATATTTATCATATTCATAACATTTTTTAAATACGCAAACGTTTTTCGATTATTTTAAGAGAAAAAATTTAGCGATGTTTGTTGTTTGTGCAATCTTTTGATATAAAGAGTTTGTAAAGTTGATGAAACATATTTATGAGATTAGAAAAAGAATTGAAAATTTTATTTTATCATTATTTTTACTGTTATTATTTTTCTCTTTGTCATGTATATATAAATCATACTATCATACAGCAGTGTGAATAGAACGTGAGAAAGAAAAGGTTGATTTCCTTGCATGGCATCAGTATAGCAAGTATTAACTTAACCATTGCGAATAGTGGCACGTGCTTTCTATTTGGAGTTTTTATGACCTACCGAAAATTTGAATTTTTATCTCTTCTTTCGACTACTGTATTTGTCTTTATTTATGTTTTAATCTCTTCCTCTTTTTTTCTCGCCTTTTAAATGATATTTCTCCTTGATTTTAAGCGAGTTACAACTTCTGCGAGTTTCTCTAGAGATGCCTTCCTCTTATTTTTATTTATCATAAAATAAAAGCAAAATTATTTATTCTATTTATTTATTTATTTATCTTTAAACCAAATTCTGATTCCAGAAATACTTTTTTTTTTCACCATCTTATATTAGTTGCAGTTAAATAATGAAAAAAAGAACTACGGTTTGAATATTTATTTTAAGTTTAAATATTCGATTTCTTTCTTATCGCATTTTTTTTTTTTGTATAACACTAAAGAAAGAAAAAAACATTAATGAATAGTAAAAATAAGTTTGTTTGAGTATAATCAAAGAAATTTACAGTTGAGGTCAATTTGTTAATAGTTTTCAGAAGCACTAATATAAACTCTGAACAAGAAGTCAGATTGGAAGGTAGAACGTGATTTGATCATTACTTTAAATTGTTTTTTTTGAATACTTTGGCTTTTTTTCCATTGTGTAGTAAAGTGCATATACTCTACTTTAATAAGGTCATTTCAAATAATTGTAAATGCCTATCTTTTGCCTCGACCGAAGGATTAGTTGCTTAAAGAAAAAAATTGATAACTAGAATATTTAAGTTTTCAAGAATCGAACATAGGAATCATTTGTTCTACTGATTCTAAGTCAAATTTGATTTTTATCAGATCTTAAGATTATTTACTATGTAGTTTATCATTAGTTCAAAAAAAAATGACAGTATTCTAGTGAAAATGAAACTAATTGGCAATCTTTCGCAATTGTACTATACACTATTATTATTATTATTATTATTATTGTATTCTTGTAATATCTTATGTTCTTGTTCTCATTCTTACTTATGTTATTATTTTTTTTTGCCTTATGCTTGCGGCTACATGGAATGTTTTGTTTCGGTCTTCCATTCTTCCCGGGTGTTTTTTTTTTTTTTTTTGTTCTTTTATTTTTTGTTGTATACATAGAGCGAGAACCAAAATCGAGCATTGGTAGTGGTTATAGTTAAGAAATACATGTGTGTTTCCTCTCATACAAACAATCACACATAGCGCAAATTTTTTTGAATATTAATAATAATAATAACAATAATAATCAATATCATAATTTGTAGACTATTACTATTTTTCTTCTATACGTTGTATGATGAAAGACTGCGTACCGCAGTTTCCATCTTACGCCACTTATCCATATCATCATCATCAACAACATCCTCATCAATACTGGCAATATGAAAATATTGGACCTAATTCACCTTCACTGTCGTCTTCATCACATCAGACAGACAACAGATATCAAAATCGGAATCTCTATCATAATGGAAGACCGATTACAAATGGGTAAGTATTCATTTTTATTTTATTTTTAGAAACAAAAAAAAATTCAATATAATGTAGATATTTATAAAACAAAATTGTTTACTAAAAATAATTTTTTTTTGAAATTTATACGATATTTATTGTCTGATTTCGTTAATCTAAATACAAATATGTACATTTTTTATCTACGTTCACTCTCGATCTGCTTGGTTAGAGATAAAATATTACTAAACGTATCAATAAAGAATACCCTACATTCTGTAAAGCGTAGAAGAAAAATCGTCGATTCTATTTATTATTCTAACAGTTTTATTTATATGAGAAAAAAAAAAACATCATTCGAAAATAACTGTTACTAGTACTAATTCTAATAAATTCATCATGCAGATAACAGAGTTGCTCAAAGATTATGACAGAAACAATAGATTGCTGTTAGAAAAGATTTGTTGATTTTTTTTTTCTTCAAAGAAACAAATTTGCTATAATAATGGTCAGAATAGTAACATGTACTTCAAGTACTATAACAATACCTAAAGAAACAAAACTTTTTGCTATTTTTTTTTTTCTTTCATAGTGATAGAAGAGAAAATCTTAGATTATTATACACAGTAGACTGATTTTAAACACTGACAAAACATATTTTTATATATAGATGATATATGGAAAATAGTAGTTCACTAGATTTCGAATCGAGGTTCAAGAATAAAGCGTGATATGTATAGACTGATTAAGTACATTAAGTACTAACACTAGTTTAGCTAAAATTAGTCATTTTTTTTTAGACGCTTTTTCATACTAACTAATTATATCTTATTTATTACAGAGAAGATAGATACTTAGAAAATGTTTCCCACATGTCTAATTTAAGAAAAATGATTATTTGTGTTAGATAGTTACTAGTTTAAACGAACTCTGCTCTGTGCATTATTTGTTTTGCATTTTTCCTATTTTTTTTTTGTACGACTCGTTGTCTATTATCCATATTTTCTCTCTCTCTCTTTCTTGCTCTCAATACACTGGAAAAACTCACCGATCGATGATAAATGATATTGATATGCTATCATTTATATGATAAAATTAAGCAGGAAGAAGGCATTAAGGAATAAAGTCATAACAAATACAATGCTTACGTGCATATAGTTATAATATTTTCATGGTCAACGGATAAGTCTTAACTGACTTTTCCATCTGAAGACTTGTTCTAAATCTTTAATTAAACTTTTCTTTTCTTTTTTTTATTACTATTAAAGAATAAAAAGGCTAAAATTATTAAAATTACGTTATTAATATAAAAACATAAGAGAATAATATATTATAAGCATATATTTAACAAATTAACGATAAATACAATCAAGATTTATCGTATAATTTGAACAAAAAAAAGTACTAGCAACAGCTGAGTGCATGAAGACTCTTAGAATTGAAATTGTTTTATATTTATGATCAAATAGAAGATGGTTAGATATCCTGCAATTTCTGACATTTGAATAAGAAAGCGTAGCATATAATAGTTTTGAAGGTTTTCATGTTTACTTTAACAATTGTTGACTGAAATAGGTACCAAGAATTTGTTACTTCAGTTGAGTGAATATTGAACGAGATAATTTAAATTTGAATTAATGATCCAATAGGTCTGGTTACACTTGAGATTTTACGTATACTATTTATTTTTTTTTTGAATAAAAGCTATGACCGAACGTTATTTTTTGTATAAGAAAACTTGTTTTTTAACCTACGTGAATAAAGGACAAAAGATGCTTATAATGAGCCATATGTATAATTATTTAACGACTATTATATCAAAGAATAGAGATGGAAAGTAAAAAGTTTATCACGATGTAAACAAATAAACATAATGATAGTTTCTTTCTCTACTTTTTCATAGTAAATATTGTGTACTTGTCACTTTAACACAAAGTTGCGTATCGAGGTCAAATTCTCTGTAATCAAGTTGATAGTATCAATTCATTTTTCTCTCCTTCACCTTCTTTTATTGCAATAAAACTTATGGTTGTTGTTTTTTCTTTTTATTATTATGTTCATGTTTTTTTACTGATATTTCTTCTTTTTTTTTATACTAGAGCACCTGTGTATATTTGACTTTTAAACAAGGCATCATTTTTGTGGATATAACATGGTAATAAAAAAAACATCTTTGAAATGTGATATAATTGAAATTGAAATATTCACAATAAAAAACACAAAATATATCATAAACAGTTATTATTCAGCATTAATTAAACTTGTTTTAGTAAGTGTTTGAATGACTGACTATAGCCTCATTTGGCACATGGATTTTTATGACTAAGTGATTATGACATAGATATATATGTAATACTTCTGCAAAATATCAGAATGATCTTTTGCTGATGAAATTTCATGTTTTTTGTCAATAAGAAGAAGAAGAAAAAAAAAATCTTTCTGCATATAGTTTGTGTGACAAATAAAACACTTTATGTCGAAAGAAGAGAGAGAAAAAAAAAGAGACATTGATAGAGAGAGAGAGAGAGAGAGAGACCATACATTTGTGCAATGGTTATTGTAATTTGTGAAAATTAAAAGAAAAAAAAAAATATTCTTGAAAGTCATTATAGTAAAAACTAAATGTCTTTATTCATTCTCATTAAGAATTTACACTAGATTTATGATAATAGTTAAACACGTAACAAAACAAAAAATACCATATGAGTTTGTTTTCAGATGCTCTAAAAAGTTTTCTTATACAAAACGGAAAACATTCATTATATTGAATATATATATATGTACTTATGGAGAAGAGAACATCTGTTTTATTGGATAAAATAAAGTGGAATTTCATTGCAGTGTCAAGATTAATTTTTAGAAAAAGTCTTTTGATAAAAACAATCGTATATTTATTAGAATAGAAGAAATGAAATAACAGTCGAGTCTGATTAATAAAAAAAATTAAAAAATTCTCTTTATTTACGTGACAAGATAGTTTATGTTCAAATGTACAAGTTTTCATTAAAAAATAATTGATACTTATAAAATAAAACTTTATATATTTTCTATACATCATTTTTCATATATCTCATCCACATATTTGATCTTATTTAATTTATAAGATGTAAAAGTATTTTATATGATCGTTTTTTATTATATTTTTTTTAATTTAATTATTTTTATTTATTTTTATATGATGTAGTCTTTCCCTTTTTGTCGATGAATCTACATATTTTTAGTATTATTATTTTCATTTGTATTAAATGTGTAGGAGGAATGTGTTGTCCTTGTAAGATAAATGAATAGTTTATCAAAATGACGAATCTACTTTTGATCTATCCTTCCTATCATTCCGTTCTTTTTCTTCTTCTAATTCTCTGCTTATCTCAAAAAAGAATATTAGAGATAATAATTTTGTTGCTAATAATTCCACTCCTCCTATATTATTTTTTTTCTTTTGTTTGTATTAACCAAATCTAAGAAAAAATGTTAATAATAAACATTAAAGTAATTTAAGGACATCACAATATAGAAATACACCTTGATAATCTCGTCATGTTAAATGTTATCGAATGTGATAAATTGATTAAAAGATATATTTCATACATGGGGATTCTATAATTGATTTGTATTGCCATCTTGATAAAACTACAATGATAGAGAACCAAAAACTAGTTTAATCATTACATTGTAATATTTATGGTTAGACTTAGCCAAATGTTTTTTATTTTTTTTTATTGAAAAAAAAATGGAGAATTTATGGAGAAACAGACCCAGTGAGTAGAATTAGTTCAAAAATTGTGAAGAATTTTCGTGTTTTTCGATTGAAATTTTTCATCCATGTACAGTATGTCTCTATCAAAACTTCATCTGATCGTGTTCTAAATTTTACCATGGATACCTGATATGGTATTTCAGAATAAAAATTTTTGTTTTTGACTGTTAATCCTTTAGCCCCGGATGTCCACAGACGTGGACATTCATAAAATCGATATACAGAAATAACGTACAATTGTATTAAAATCGGATTTTGTTCCAACCTGAGAGGCTTCATCTGCTCTCGATTGGTAAAAAGAAAGTTTTCTTTCTATGGATCTTGAACGGGATAATTAACTTTTAAAACTAAAGAATTGCAAATTATTGAAGTTTTTTAACAACTTTTTCTATAGATTTAACCATACAAAAGTTTTTAAATGTAGTGGTTGATTACTATTGCTATAATCATACAGGAAAAGAAATTTTTTAAATATTGATTTGTCAAAAATAGGTGAAAATAGACAAAATTTTGAATAAAATTCAAAATTCAATCATTCATTCTATTTTTAAAATTCTCAAATAATTTTTTTCTTACTCATCAAAAACTGGGTCTGGCAAATAGATTTTGGAAATTTTAAAACTCAGATTGACTTCGAGAATCCGTTGAAGACGAGTAGAATGGTAAAAGGTCCGTTGATCAATCTTGTAAACCTATCTAGTTCTAGGATTTGGAAGATAAAATTTTCTTTCATACCTCATTCTAACTGATATACTTATGAGAGAAAACTGTCTGTATCGGTAATGGAAAATTTTACTTCGTTGTAGAAAAATTCAATTTTTATGACTTCAGTGAGGAACTCTTTGAAATTGGAACTGTCCCTTGCCATTTTCTCAGTCAAAGACTATTTAACTATTTTGATAAAAGCAAGGTCATATTCGGAATCAGGATCAAAAATTAGATCGAATAACATGGGCCTCAGGGATTTTAAATGAAGAAGTTTTTCGTTTTTTTCAAAAATCCAAAATCAAAATTTTCACTCAGACTCCAAATATTCCTAAAACCCTGAGACCTGTATCATTTGTCCCAGTTTTTGACCCTGATTCCGAATATGACCTTGTTTTTGTCAAAATGTTGAATTTTGATAGAACAAGTTTGGACAATAAAGACAAAAAAATTCCGTTTTTCATGTTGGTGACCACTAATGTCCACATCTGTCCACATTCTGTATTCTATCACCTAGGCAACTTCATTTTATTTTAAGTATAGAATGGGTATAGTCAGTACTCAAGAGGTCCATTTTAGTAGTCGTCTTTCCTGGATCTTCAAGAAAATCTTCTCCGGAGTAAAGAGTTAAGTTTCCCTTTTCGAGATATAAAAAAAATGATAGAAAATCCCCCACGTAAAACCTCGGCTTTTTATTTGAAAACCCTATAACTCAGACAAATCAGACGTCAAAAACACAAACTTTTTATTCTAAGATATCATATCAAGTTGGGGTCAAATTCTGAACGAAATCAGCTTAAGTTCTATAATGTACACGGATAAAAACAGAGGTTTTCCAGAAACCTCATAGACAAACATGTGAACATATTCTAGCCACCAAAATACATCGATTTTCTTTTTCGATGTTCTATCCTTGATATGAATTTGAACAACAATCGGACGATTACTCCACATTTTCCAGCAGGATGAAAAAGAGGAGGAGTGTTACTAATGGTTTGCCATTGACTCCCCTTATGTCATACTAACCTTTGTTTGATAGATGTCTGTCAGCAAGTCCTTGCTATATACATGTAAAAAAGACCCTTCTATATTTCTCGGCATAGATATTCTTGATTTATACTAATAAATGAAGTAAATCAATTTAAATTAAAAATGGATCAAAAAGATGAGGAAAATTTCTTTGTCGACAAAAAATCTAAAGTGTTCTACCACATTTGATTTTAATAACAAAAAGTGGAAGAAGGATACCATTATTTATGCTATAAATATATATAACAAATTGCATTGATTGTCTTTTGTTTTTTCTTTAGTGGATCTCAAATTCAGTATTTCGACGATGAAGACGATGATGAAGAAGATGGTCCACGTCCTTTTGACAGGTAACAATTATCAAAAAAAGAAAATACTATTTGACTATTTTATGAATTTAAGCACCATTTTTTTCTATTTTAGAAAAATGTTTATTGGTGGACTTAGTTGGCAGACGACGCCAGGTATGGACAGGTTTTATTTTATCTCTACTGATACTTTGAGTGTGTTCTGTACACCTGGGTGTCGTGTGCAATGTGATACTCATATAGACGTTTGTACACGTGCTCATGTAAAAAAAACATTCAAAAACAAAAAATTATAGATTTTGTCGTATAAATTCGTACACTGTGTACTAAACGAATATTGTTTATTTATTTTAGAGAATTTGAAAACATATTTTCAACAATACGGTGAAGTGCTAGAATGTATGATTATGAAAGATGCTATTACAAAACGATCGAGGTAAATAAAAAAAGTTGTTTATATCAGATCACAGATGTTTCAACTGTGATCATGCTTTAAACTGGATTATTTGAAAAGTATTCAGCGATTATTGTTTAATAATTATAATTGATTCAGACCTGAGTCCTATAAGTTAGACTGCTTTCTTGATGCATAGACTTTATACAAACTTTTGTGCATAAATCAGCTAGTACTTTTAGAAAAAGCATCGATACCATTAGCTAAAAAGATGGCTTTTAAGTACAGTAGTGTACAAAAGTATAGACTCACCTGTTCAAACCTTCTATGCTTTTTTTACTGCAAAAAGAGTGGCATGTGTTTTGACACTGATATATTTCTCTGTAATGAAATGACGTGCGAAGCTCACGAACCTCTCACATTCTGAAAGAAAAAGTGTCATCTATTCGAATTCGTTGTCAAAAAATGAGTTCAGCCTCTATTTCAAATTTCGTAGCCTAAAATACTGAATATTTTCAAGCCATTTTGACTTGTTCAATAAAATCTAATAATAACTCCAAATACAGATCATTTTTTAAAGTCGTTTTTATGAAAATGTTCAGAAACAACTCTCTATCTCTATGTAACTTTCGAGGTAAACTAATGTCGCTTTGGTACAAAAATAACGAAAATACGATATCGAGTCTATAATTGTGAAGAGGCAAAAAATGACAGGTTTCAACAAACATTTGTTTTCTCGAACTTGAAAGTCGTATTGAGCAAATCTGATTTTATATTCGGATAGAGCATAATCGAATGTATGTAATCACAAAGATTTTTCTTTGCACAAGGGTATACAGTTGTCGGGAGTGATCAAATAACTGGGTTTGAAGAGATGAGTCTATAATTTTGCACAATACTGTCCCGTGTAGATGAGAAAAAGTCGTTCGAGAGATGCGGTGAGTACTCGAAAATAGGCCCTCGCCGAGGGCTCGAATCGTCGAAAAATGACACTTCGGACCCTCGATATAAGCTTTCGTAGGGTTATCGATTTCGAGGTCTCGGATTTCAGATAGGTAGCGGGCCATCGAGAAAAATTTCGAGCCATTGATCAGAGATGTCCGGGACTTCCAAGTCCTATTTGCCCGAATGTGCGATGTTCGGGACTTACGAGCCCTCACTCGCCTCAGGGTGCGATGAGGACTCGAAAGTCCCGAACATCTCTGTTCGATAGCTCGAAATTTTTCTCAAGGGCTCGCTATCTATCTGAGATCCGAGGTCTCGAAAACTTCTATCGAGAGTCCGAAGTGTCATTTTTTGAGGGTTCAAGCACCCGGTGAGGGCTCATCGAAAATGTATTTTCGAGCACTCGAAGCCAAGGCACTTGTTCTCGTATCACTCTCTATCTCCGCTAATAGCAGTCAGAAACACTTCTAGTAACAGTTTCTGTTTGTTATTTACCAAGTGCGCCTCGAACAAGTGATTGGATAGATCATATAGTGAATTTTGAAGAGCAGAAAACCGAACGAAGTCTTGAACCGACATAGCTAAAAGTATTCCATCCTTTTACAATCTGTCCATCAGACATTATCAGAATATATTTCTTTACTAGATTAATTATATTAATTCATTTTAGGGGTTTTGGATTTATTACATTCAAAGATGCAACAGCGGTAGACAAAGTATTAGCCAAAGAACAACATATGTTGGATGAAAAACAGGTAAAAGAAAACGTTTTATTCCATTTTGTCTTAGATCATATATTGTTGTTGAAAATAGTTCCTTCATTTTCTATTCTTAAAATATAAAATAGCTGAATTGATTATGTTTTGGTTAATATAATATCTCTCTCGTTCTTGTTCTAAAATATGAAATATTATACATCACTATGTTTCGTAAAATATAATCGTTTATTCTCAAGTGTTTCATGATTATTATTATTATTATCAATTGTTGAAGATTGAAGTATTGGTTGATTATTAAAAAAGTAATTATTTTCAATTTGTTTTCTTGTTTCCTGTTGTTGGTCATTTGTATTGGTTTTTAACACTTTATACGTATAAACGAGTGTACCCAAAAAAAATATACAAAATAATATAAGACTTAGACATCCAATAACTAAACAGGGTGAAAAACGTTTTTTTGACATTGTCGTATTTGCTAGAGTAAACATCCATATTGTAATGGTTAATGCAATTAGAGAAAATACAATGAACATAACTGAAAAACGACAATATTCATTACGAGTATTATTTACTGAATGATTATTGTTCTCGAAATGATGACGATATGTTAAATTTTCCCAAATAATATTTGACATAGAAAATTAATTCATACATTGAATTCATAAACAATAATTGATAATTTCTAAATATTAAATGAAAATTATTACGCAATTTTAATCTCATTTAATTAAATAAGATAAAAATTAATTTTAATGATAACAAATGACAATTGTTTGATATTGATCAATATACTCACTCAAATGAGTAAACTAAAACTTCATCGATTTTAATAAAAAACAAAAAAATTTTTTTGTATAATTTTTAATTTTTTTGCAACAACGAAAAATTGTGAAATGAATAAAATATAGATGAAAAAATGTTTACTAAGAAATATTCAAAAAAATTATCATCATAAATTTGAAGATTTTTCATTGCTATAGTAAAATAATGTAGAGAGACTTCAATTTTTGAAATAGTGCAAAAGAAAAAAACAAAAAAAAACTAAAATTATTTGAAAAAAAAAAATATGTTCACTTACAATATACCTCATCGAAATATATGTTTTACATTGTTATCAACTTAAAACTTGTTTGCAATCAATTTTCTAATCAAATTTATTTTTTCTCACTTTCTCTATTTCTTTTTTTTTTTCCATTATTAATGAACTATCACCAAATATATTTATTATACTCGAACAACAAAAATTTCCGACAGTTTTCCTTATGTATAAGTGTTCAATTCACTTGCTACTCTTTTTTTTTTTCTTCTTCTTTCTTTGTGCGTCATTATCGTCTTAAATCATTCGTATGTGTGAGAAAACAACTTATAATTTCTTTATATGTGTGTATGTATGTATGTATGCCATTTAATCAGTAAAATAAAAAAGAAGAAAAGGAAAAATAATGGAAAAAATTACTTATAACATATTGTTCATTTATTTTTTTTTTTAAATTCTTTTTGAAAGTTTTATTTTTGTATTTATGGACATACGCTTTCTTTCTCTCTCTCTCTTTCAGCTTTCATATTGTTTGCACAAAAATTCGCTCAAGTTTTCTTCTTCTTTTTTTTTTGATGCCTTGTTTTCATATGTCATCTATATTTCTCAAAAACGAGATTTATAGAGAAGTGGATAAATAACAATGAAGATCCACATAATTATTTCCTTTAGTGAAAAAAATTTGTTAGTAATTAATTTCTAACGTTGGTAAACACAATCAATGAATCTCTTACTAATGACTTTTTTATCACACATAGAATGACTTAAAGACATGCTAATAACCTATCTTACAGTTCAAATTGTGATAATTTTCTAATTTTGTTAGTGACAACAAAGGATTGTGTCTCATAAAATGAAAAATTCTTTATTCTTGATCATACTGAGTTCTTTTGAGGCCTAGAGATGATTTAGAGGAGAAAAAAACAACCCACTTCATCGATTAACACGTCATAGTAATAGAAGAAAACATCACATTTTGAAATAAATATGATATATATATTTTGTTTTTTTGAATGAGAACAATTCAAATTATTGATCTCAATTATGTGTTATTCTAAATGATAGTTTACTATAAAAAATAGAATATTTTTTTTATTTTTAAAATAGAATTGTCATGAATACTTACCTATGAACATGATGTGTTTTTATGGTAACTGATCAACTATATGTTGTATTTTTTCTTTTACAATTTTTCTTCTTTGTTTCTTACTTAATTCAAGAATAAGATGGAAAATGTCTGTTCACTAGGCGTTTTTCTTTCTATTTTTCTTTTTTATGTTGTTCTGATCTCACAATCTCTTGTATATAATTGAGATATATTTGGCATGCAGAGTTCGGTTCAGTGGAATAGGTTTTATAAATGAAGAAAATAACGGAGAAAAAAAAATGCTAAAAATTTTGAGTAGACACTAGATAAGAGCAAAAAGTTCTGATTAACGAGTTATAGACGATTGTTATTACGTCATTCGCATTTAACAACAACAAAAAAAAAAAGAAAAAAGAAAATAAATCAATAATTGAATGTGTCGAACAGAAATTTTTTTGGACCTGTATTTTTTTGATCAATTAGACATTCTTAAGGTATCATACTAATTTGGAAATTGATCATTTATTGCACATTTTTGTCAATATAAGATAAAATACAGTTTAGCAATATATTTGATTCTGTTTGTATGTAGATAGACGCTGAAATAGTCTAATAATCAGATATTTGAGTATAGTTAAAGGTGTTGATCGATAAAAATAATTTGTCCTTTTTGTACTGTTTGACATATCATTGTCTATGTATACAATATCTTTAGAACTTTGATTAAATATATTTTAAATTAAAAATATTTCTTTTTATCTAACTATATGAGATATTGTATTTATAGATTTATGTGTGAGTAAATAAATAATAATAATAATATAAAGTGGAAAAACTTGTGAATTGTGTGTCATATTTGAAAAATTATGATAATAAAAAAATTTTGTTCAACATCACATGTGTCAAAAAAAGTATCGAGCATCATCTAACAGTGCATTACGATCGTCAAGTTACTGATCAATGTTTACAGATAAAATGTCATTCTTGATGCAACTAGATAACATTATCTATTAATTAACATTTGCTTCGGGTTAAACTTGATGCATGCAAATCTCTACTGAGAGATATATCGTACCATGAAACTTCACCTAGAGGCTCTGGATAAAATAGTAGAAAATATTGATCGATACATAAGATAAAATATCTCGATATTTTGAAAGAAGTACTTATACTTTGGATCCATTTTGACAACGTATAATCAATTATTTTTCATTCTATCTTAAAAAATTTCTAAATTAACTAAATATATAGTTGATTAAATTAATTTCTAAACGTATGGTTAGTCTGTGAATTAGGGATACAATCACTAGCACACAAAATCGGATAATGGAAGGAGGAGTGATTTTTTTTAGAGTAGTAGATAATTTATAACAATATGAAAAAGCAAACAACTTAGAATCCTTAGGAAAATACTTACATTTTTTGGATAATAGTAGAAGAAATCGTAATCATATCTAATTAAATTTTCGGTTGAGTTGCATACTTGTTTAATGTAATCTTTTTTCTTAGTATTAAACAGAGATATTACGTTTAATAGTTGTTAGTAATATTTTGTTTGTGATTTGTAGAGAAAGATTGTTTTTTCTAAATGATAAAAATAATTATTTAATAAAAAATATGACTTAAATATTTCTTTGAAATAAAAATAGAACATTTGTTAAATCACAAAACTAAAATTATGTTTTTTATGAATACGGTTTATCGGGTATATCTACTGAAAATGAATTTTCATCATTAATAGACGAAAATGCTTTATTATCATATGAAACATAATTGACTTTTATCGGTGGTATTTTTTTATCATCTAAATAATTTTTATTTCTAAGTCGACGTTGTCGATCATCTCTATTTTCTATTGTTGAAATGATTGTTTCATCTTCAATTGATGTTGTTGTTGATGCTGTTATGATATTTTTGTTATTATTTAAAATTGTACGTTGTTGATTCTGTTTTTTCAATCGACAATAGTTGATTGTATAATATGTTATCCATATGACAATAACAATCGATAATATAAGTATAATACTTGCACTTACAATTACTGGTGTCTTACTGCGATTACCACCAAATGCTTGTGCTTGATCAGGACCATTAGCTAATACAAATAAAACAATAGATAATATTAATAATGATACGGCTGTACAGTAAAAACAGGTTATATGACGTGTACGAATTGAAGGTAATGTTGCTTTTTCTCTCTTTGCCATTATTTTATAATAAAAAAAAATGTTAATTTTTAAAAATTAAATAAAAAAAGAAATGTTTTATATAAGAAAAGAGAAGATGATATATTATGTTTTTCTAGTTTTTCTTTTACAATCTGACAGGAAAACAATCGTCACGTTTCCTTTTTTTTTGCAAAACTTATATAGTTGTTGAATCAATTACCATTAAATAGTTAAAAAGAAATATGTTGATATCTCAAATATTCACTAGTGAAAAATAATTTTTTTACATTCAAAACAATAGTTATCGATCTTTCTTCTTTGAAATATCATGTTATACTACTTGAAAAAGAAATTTTTTTCCTATGCTTTCTAGAAAAAAAATTGACACATATTTAAAAAAGATCTCAAAATTGAATGAACTTCTAACCTGTTTTTAGAATGTATACATTATCCACCATTCTACCTGCTGCTGCCACCTGTCCAGATGAGAAAAGTCGTTTGAGAGATGCGGCGAGTACTTGAAAAATGAGTCCTCGGCGGAACCCAACCAGACGAAAAGACTTCCGAATCCTCATCGCCCGAGGATGCGACGAGGGCTCGAAAGTCCCGAGCATCTCTGTTCAATGGCTCGGAATTTTTTTCGAGGGCTCTCTACCTATCTAAAAACTGAGGGACTCGAAATTGATAACTTGATTATTTTTTGAGGAATCAAGCTCTTGGCGTGGGTCCATCGAAAGTGTATGTTCGAGTACTCGAAATATCCCTCGAACAAGTGATTGAAATATTGTAGAAATGGAAAAAAGAACAGATAATAATCTGTTTTATTATTCAACAAAACAAGATTTTTTAAATCCTTAAATCGTTCATATTGGATAATCTATGTCTTTCACTTACTTGTGTTGTTTTCTAATAATAACCATAATACAATTCAAACAAGAAAGAAGGATATCCGTTTTTGTTTATAGATAAAACGGTCTCAAAATGGGTTTAATATGTGTTTACAAAAACGGATGATGACTTTCTCTCGTCGTTTGTCATTTTTCTTTTTTCTCTATGGAAAAAATGACGAACGGATTGTGATCAGAAAAATAGCTATGTGTGCCTTTGGGTATTATTATCTAGTGATTATTAACATCAGCCAAAACAACAAGAAACTTGTCCATATAGTAATTTTTTTTTTATTTTCAAAGATACTTAAGGAAAAGAGAGTTAGCAAGAGAGTGAAAGATTATCAATTGTTTATTTAGCCTTTACATATGGTTGATATATATATAAGAAATATTTCTTTCGATGGCCGAATTAATAGAGAAGAACGAAAACTTTTTTTTTTTATCACTTCTTTTCCGTATCATATATATCAAACAAAAATAGACTTCAATAATAAAAAAAAACCCTATTGATTCTGATCTAACTCAATATTTAATGTGTATTTTAAATTAAATCTAGCATTTATCGGTAAGATTATTTCTAAATGTAAATGATTGCTTATTTGTTGATAACACTATGATTTTAATAAAATTGTCGTTTAACAATGATGAAATTTTAAGATAAATTATTTTATTTATTTAAAAATCTTTAGTGGAAGTGTGATGTTTGTATAACGGTAATATCCTATTTATTCCGATAGTATGCGTAACGATAGAGAAGAGTTCTTGTTCTATAGCTCATCGATGATGATATGAAAGTATAGAGGTCGTTGTGTATCATTATATTCTTGTTGATGCACATTACATTATTATTTTGCTACTTGTTTTAGATCGATCCAAAATTGGCCTATCCTAGACAGAAACATCCCAAAGTAAGTTTATTATTATTATTTTTGTTTGCTTGATGTTATAATTTGACTGAAAGAGTCAGATATTTTTTTTTTTGATATTTCACAGAACATTTTTGCTTTTGATGTTTTCAAAATTTAAAATGAAATTATCATAAAGAATATACAAGTTTTTTCCATTTGTAACTTGACGTAGAAAGATGATTATTAAGGAATTTTTTGCTTAACTTGAATTTGTTATTCATTAATTCCCAATTCTTTCTCTTTACATTGGTCGACGATCAGCTCTATCTGAAAAACTCAATCAAGTATGCCGTTTTATCAGACTATATTAAAATGTATCTTCCGATTCAGAGATAAACGTTTGAATCAGTTCTGAATCATATGACGGAATTAGGACTGAATTTCCTGAAAAAAACAATTTCCGAAATTGAGAAGCTGATTCCGGTTAGATTTTTGAACTCTGAATCAGTTATTAGTAGAGAAAGCTTCATGTAAATAACAGTGAGCTCTAAACTCTAAGAAAAACTTAGAATAGTACACAAATTAGATAACTCACAAACATTCAAGAACAGTGTTACTATGAAGAGGAAGATATAACTGTTACGATCAAGCGCACTCTCTATGTCCTTAGCATGATGTAGTCAATCGAGTCAGCCCTGGAAGCATTGATAATTACTAATTCAGAACGGATTCCGTAAGAAGCAAAAGAGAAAAAACAACAACTTTTTGTGGAAAGTAATTTTCGGTTCTTTTGGAGCTGATTTTTCGATTCTGATTCAGGACTGATAAAACTACATAGCTGATTCAGGTTTTCAGATCGAGCTGATCGTTGACTAGTGGAATGACTGTAAAATGAAAGAAGCTAAACAAAAAGTAATATCATATTTCTTTCTATGGAATGGATGATCGAATCCATGAATGAACGGATATCAGAGCTTTTTCTTCTACTTTATATAATTGTGCACGCATTAAAGAAAAACAGTTAAATTTTTCTTATATAAAGAGGACAAATATTTGACTCTTTGATTATATGCATGTGGGAAAATATAATCTATTCTTACTTACAATCATCAGTTCTAAATTGTTTGTGAATTCGATTTTTGTCATCTGCTTCACTCCTGCGTATAGTATTAAATTAGAAGAAATAATGATTAACATCATCGTTTTGCTTAATATTAGAATGAGAGTCACATGGTGGTAATTATAATAAGCATTTGACATTTCGTAAGCATTTGGGACATAGTTAAGTCATTTTTTGACTGGTAAAGATCGATATTTGCGCAGGTAGATGTATCTGATTTTCAACTATCTACTAATAGAACTCGTTTCTCAATATTCATTAGCGCTAAACTGTCCGAATATGCGTGTATCGACTGATACTCTCATCTATTCAAAT